CCTCTCCAGCAACTGTTATTTTTTGAGTTATTGGTAATTGCCATTCTGACTGGAGTTAGGTGGTATCTCAGTGTGGTTTTGATTTGCATCTCCCTGATGATTAGTGAGGTTGAACATTTCTTCATGTGTCTGTTGGCTGCTCGGATGTCTTCCTTTGAGAAGTGTCTGTTCATATCTTTTGCCCATTTTATAATGGGGTTGCTTGTTTTTTTCTTTTCAGCACATTTGAGTTCCTTGTAGATCCAAGATGTTAAGCCTTTGTCAGACCTGGAGTTGGCAAATACTTTTTCCCAGTCTGTAGCCTGTCTCCCTGCTCTCTTGATGGTTTTTTGGCTTTGCAGAAGCTTGTTAGTTTAATGAGGTCCCACTTGTCTATCTTATCTCTTATGGCCTATGGGTTTTCTGGTTTTGTTCAGGAATTGGATGCCAGTTCCAATTTCCATGAGGGTATGTCCTTCATTTTCTAAGGTTCTTATGGTTTGAGGTTTTATATTTAGGTCTCTGATCCATTTGGAGTTAATTTTTGTGTATGGGGATAGAAAGGGGTCCTGTTTCAATCTTCTGCATGTGGTCAGCCAGTTTTCCCAGCACCATTTACTGAATAGGTTCTTCTCTCCCCAGTGATAGGTGGTGGAGGCTTTGTCGACGATGAGTTGGGTGAGATATTGAGGTTTTGCTTCTGGAATCTCAATTCTATTCCATTGATCTATATGCCTGTTCCTATACCAATACCAAGCTGTTTTGATGATTGTAGCTTTATAGTAAAGTTTGAAGTCTGGTAATGTGATACTACCTGTTTTGTTTTTTTTTGCTGAGGATTGTTCTGGCTATTCTTGGTTGTTTGTGTTTCCATTTGAATTCCTGTGTTGTTTTTTCTAGGTCTGAGAAGAATGTTGCTGGTAATTTGATGGGTATTGCATTGAATCCATAGATTGCCTTAGGTAGGATGGACATCTTCACAATGTTGATTCTTCCAATCCATGAGCTTGGGATATTTTCCCACTTGTTTGCATCATCTTTGATTTCTTTGAGCAGTGTTTTGTAGTTTTCATTGTAAAGGTCTTTCATGTCTCTGGTTAGGAAGATGCCAAGGTATTTCATTTTTTTGGTGGCTATTGTGTATGGAATTGTGCTTTTTATTTGGGTTTCTGTTTGTTGATTACCTTATTTTAAAAAAAGCTTTTGATTTTGGAATAAATGTATGTTTACAGAAAAGCTTCAAATGTAATAAAATGAGTTATCATACACCCCTCAACATGAAAGAATTAATTAATATTCAAAGCTGGGTGTGGTGGCTCATGCCTGAGCTCAGGGGTGTGAGACCAGCCTGGAAAACTTGGCAAGACCTCGGCTCTACAATAAATCAAAAAATTAGTCGGGCATGGTGGCACATGCCTATGGTTCTAGCTACTTGGAAGGCTGAGGCAGAAGGATCTCTTGAGCCTAGTCATTGGAGGCTGCCATGATTATGCCACTGCACTCCAGCCTGGGCAATAGAGACTGTGACTCAAAAAACAAACAAAAAATTAATATTCAATGGCTTTAAAGTATAACAATTAAGTGAAAAATTTTTTTTCTTTTTTTTGAGTTGGAGTCTCACTCTGTCACCCAGACTGGAGTGCAGTGGCACACTCCCGGCCACCGCAGCCTCGAACTGCTGGGCTCCGGCGATCCTTCCGCCTCAGCCTTCCAAGTAGCTGGAACTACAGGTGCGCACTACCACGCCCAGCTAATTTTTGATTTATTGTAGAGATGAGGTCTCACCAAGTTGCCCAGGCAGGTCTCGAACCCGCGGGCTCAGGCAATCCACTCACCTCAGCCTCCCAAAGGCGCAGGATTACAGGCTGAGCCACTGAGCCTGGCTTTAAGTTAAAATAGTAAGAAAAAAATTTACTTTAGCTTTTATAATTTCCTTTAAATAAGATGTAGTGACACTTTCATTTACTTGATTAAACTCATTCACAAGTTGTCTTTTTCTTTTTTCAAGTCAAAGTCTCACTTTGTTGCCCAGGCTCGGAGTGCAGTAGCATGATCACAGCTCACTGCAGCCTTGAACTCCTGAGCTCAAGTTATTCTCCCTCCTCAGCCTCCTGAGTAGCTGGGACCACAGGTGCACACCATTACACCCAGCTAGTTTTTCTACCTTTAAGATATTATCTCTTGTAATCCAATACTGTGGTAAATTACATTAATATATTTTCAAATGAAAAACCATCCTTGCATCCCTGAGATTAACTCAAGATATATGACATCTTTATTAGTTGCTAATTTTATTAGTAAAGAAGACTTTTGCATCCACATTCATGAGTGGGTTTGGTGATTAAGTTTAATCTCTCATTTTTTAAAGCTTGTATAACAAAGTTATACTAGGCTCATAGAATTAATTGGTATTTTCTATTATCTGTGAGATTTTGAAAAATGTTCGATTTATTATTTCATTGACTGTTTGGAAGAATTCACCTCTTCTAAATCTGGGAGAGTCTGATATTTGATTTTGGAGATTATTTGAAAACAGGAAACGTGGTTATGATTTACGACAGGTTTCTCTGGGAAGGTGTCTCTGAGAGTATCACTTTAGGGACATGAAGGAGATAAAGATGTTGGCTTTTGTGGACATCTTGGGTTCAATCTTTCCAGATGGTGGATTATAGTAATGCAGAGTCTCCAAAATAGGAGTTTGTTTGGAGGCTCTGTAGAGATTTGAGGAGAGGGCTCCAGGCACAGGCAACAGCAAAGGCAAATACCACGTGCTGAAGAAGACATGAACACTTAGGATATTTTATATTGCTATGGTGCTGTGATGGATTAAAAAACAAACAAAACAGGCTGGGCTCAGTGGCTCAGCCTGTCATCCCAGCATTGTGGGAGGCTGAGGCGAGTGGATTGCCTAAGGCCGTGGGTTCAAGATCAGCTCTGGTAACTTGGCAAGACCTCGTCTCTACAATAAATCAAATAGAAAATTAGCCGGGCATGGTAGCACTCCCTGTAGTTCTGGCTACTTGGAAAACTGAGGCGGAAGGATCGCTGGAGCCTAGCAGGTCGAGGCTGGGCTGGCCGTGAGTGCGCCACTGCACTCCAGCCTGGGCGATGGAGTGAAAAAACACTTTGAGAAAGTTTGCCCCTGCCTTGTAGAGATTGTTACCCAAAATAATTTCCCTCATGTGTACCAAGAAGCGTGTTCAAGAATTATTAACTTAAAAAAAATTTATAAATTTGGAAAAGGAGCCTTTCTTTCTTGTAAAGGATTACAGCCTGCAACGTGGCCATCCTGCAAATTGGAAAGCAAGCCTTTGGCAAAGACCCGAGACAGGCATGTCCAAGGGGAGGGGGTTATGCTTTATTTGAACAGATTGGCTACATTGGCATATTCAACAAGTTACAGGAAGAGCTATGAATATTCACAAAGGAGGTCCTGACTCGTGCTGATTGAAAAACATACATGTAATATGACCCATTTTCACTTTGCAGTGGAGACTTAACATTTAACCGTATTACACTTAGGCCCTATAAATCAGAAATAAGTTCCCCTCTCCACTTTACCAGTCATCTTTGGAAGAAATTAAAGAGAAATGTTTGACTTTCCTGGTAACTATTTGTCAATAGAATGCAATCTGCAATTTTGAGTCATCAGTCACATTCAGCTCAAGCTTAGCTATTAATATTTCTAGTGAATTTAAAAATGTCACAATACCATTTATATATAACAATTTCCTTTCATCATCACCTGGAAGAGAGTCTGCTCACAGATTTCCACCTGTGCTCCCCACATTAAGATGTGTGTGGCTTGGCCAGGTGTGATGGCCTGTAATTTCAGCACTTTGGTAGGTGGAGGCAAGAGGATTGCCTGAGCCCACGGGTTCAAGACCAGCCTGGGCAACATGGCAAGACCTTGTCTCTACAATAAATAAAAAATTAACTGGATGTGGTGTGGCACACTTGTATTTCCAGCTACTTGGAAGGCTGAGGCAGAAGGATCACCTGAGCCCAGCAGGTCAAGACTGCAGTGGTCGTAAGTGCCACTGCCTTCCAGGCTGGGTGACACTGACTAAAAAAAAAAAAAGAAAAAGAAAAAGAGGTTTGTGTGGCTGCATCAGAGTTAAAGGATATGGTGTGAGGCAAGTAGACAGGAAAAGCCTCACTGGAGCACAGGCACGGTGAGGGTGTGTGTGCATCCTCAAGGTTGGAATTCACTGTCTTCTAATGTGGGTGCTTCCCTGGATTTTAAAGAATAAACGTCAACATTATGGATTCATTCACTTATTCAACAGATATTTATTGGTTATTGGAAATGTGCCAGCCACTTTTCTAAGCACTTAAATTTTTAGTAAACAAAACGGACAAATCCCATGCCTTCCTCAGCCTTACATTGTAGTGGAGCAAGACGGGAAATGGAAAGCACAATCAGGAAATAAATGGCCTCTCATTTCTTATGTTCTAAGTAGATAAGCACTATGAAAATATACATACTCATGTGCATATATTTATACACACTATGTCAGTCAATAGCTTAGGAAGTTTCTGGTGTGAAGGGGATACTTCTCAGCGTAATTTTCTCATGAGTCCTCATATGACGGTGGAATGTGGATGACTGGCGGTAGCTTCTCTCGCAAACAGGGCACATATATGGCTTCTCTCCTGTGTGGATTCTCTCATGAGCCCGCAGGTTGGTTTTGTGGCTGAAGGACTTTTCACACACGCTGCATCTGAAAGGTTTCTGTCTTGTGTGAATTATCTGATGCATATTCAGGTCTGATGCCTGGAAGAAGCCTTTGTGACACCCAGCACAAACAAATGGCCTCTCATTCCTGTGTCTTCGTTGGTGGGCTAATAAGTGACAGCGATACCTAAAGATCTTAGGGCATTCCTCACATTTGTATAATTTTGGGGCTCCATGGGATCTCTTTTGGTGTACCCCACCTGTGGAGTTTCCCTCATTGCTCTGGTGGGTAGGTACAGGGTCAGGGGAGGACTGACCTGGCCTGGAGGGAAACCCCAGTCCTACCTTTGTGGGGACTTTTTGGTAAGAGGGTCCCTTCAAGGACCCCTCCTGGGATCTGGAAGCACTTAGCCCTATTTTTTTGGAGCTGTGTGGGTTTTCACAAGAAAAACCTCTCTCTTCAGACCTATGAACATTCTCTTCCTGGATAATGAGTAAGGCAGGTATTTGATTGCCTTGCCTAGAAATGCTGTTATTTATCCAAGTAGTTTTCAATGAAATGTTGTGGTCATCTTTATCTTCATGTTCTGTGAAAGTAAATAAATCACTCAGTGAAGTGGTATTCAAGAAAGAGTCCACATAGAACATCTCTCTGGTGTGCAGATTCACTTGACTTACCTTGTCCTGTTTCCAAGGGAGTATCTTGTGGTATCTCAGAGGGTGACCCCATATTCTCTCCTCTTGAGGTTCCTCTTGACATCTGGTTTGTGAGATGAACAATGACTTCTCTTAAGGGCATATGCTCAGAAAAGAGAGCTTCCTGTCCCTGCATGTAGACATGGACCTGTAAACATAGGCAGATCATTGTTGTATTCAAATCTGTTGTGTGATAGAAGCCCTTTTGGAAAACCAGCCCTCAACAGGCTTTCACAAACTCTATCTATTATGAGCTACCACATGTTTTTGTCCTGCCCTTATCTCTGATCGTGTTATTCTTATTATTCACAAGCTATTTTTATGTTCTATAAAGTCACTATGGATGCTGAATTTGCAAATACTGAATCATTTCTCCTAGGGAAAATACAGGGTTAGTTTCCTGTGAGCTTCTAGTCAAAATATTTTTGTCAACTGATCAATACATAACCTTGTTTTATGTGTGCATCTACTTAAAGACACTTCATGTATGTGTGTATCTATTTAAAGACACTTCATTTAAAGGTGGGAGACTGTAATCTGACTAATGATTGGACCTACAATAACTTCTTCCTCTACTTCCAGGCAACTCCAACTGATTATACTTATTCCTCACTCCCCTCTGTCCCTTGCCCCAGAAGTCAGAACTGTCTACTTACTAAGACAGGTGGCTTCAAGCAATCATCAGTCAGGTCTTCCATGAATTTCTCCAAGTTTCCTCCACTTGATTTCCATGTCTCTTTCACAATGGCCCTGTCATTGCACTGTCCACTAATCATAAACTGCTCTACGACCAACTGAGAAATAATTTCATCCTTGCTGTGCTTTTCTGGTTGCAGCCATGAGTGAAAAAAACCATAAAGTCTTTGCAATTCCTGCCTTGCACGTGAGTTATTGCTGTCTTGAAATGAGTTGAACTGAGTGCTTGAGTATGCAGGAATTCCTTCTCCCTTCTGAGCAGCAAGTTCCTGGCTTGGTTTAAACCATAGATTTTCTGATCCAAGATTCTTCCCTGATGGTTCACACTGAAGTGATTTTCTGAGATCTAAAGCCATTCTTAGCAAGAGATTTCAGAGAAACTCAGCTTTGATGATTCAGCCTCTGCTGTCTTGTGTCTCTGGGGATCTGTATTAATAATTGGTAGATTCTTAAAGACTTCAGGCTAGAAATAAAAAAGATGTGTAATTAATTGCACCACCAGCATAACTAATGACAAACAAATCATCAGACCCAGATGGCCTTATGGATTAAGATCTTATGTACAGCATAGTGACAATAGTTAATATATATTATATACTTGAAATTTTCTGAGTAGATGTTCAGTGCTCTTGTTGCAAAAAAGTAACTATGTGAAGTGATATGTTAATTAGCTTGATTGTGGTAATTATTTTTACAATGTATATGTGTATCAGAGCATCATGTTATATATCTTAAATGTGTAGTTTTTGTCTAATCAATAAACCTGGCAAAAAAGAAAAAGTAGAAACATGAATGAAATAAAAGATTGGCCAGAATCCATATAAATGACATCTTTCTCTGGGATGAAAACTACATTAAGTATAGACATCTTAGTGAAATGATACATTCCTTAGAAAACATGCCCTTTATCACCTTTAAGACTGTTTGATTATTTTTTCATTAACAGTTCCTTGTGAATAGCATTTGCTTCACTACTTTAATAAAGTTACAATTTTATGTTTATCTATTCTTTTTTTTCATTAGAAAATAGTTCATTTAAAAGTAAATGAGAGAGAGAAGATTCACCTCTCTAAGGTGGGAGAGTTGTTTATGTATTTTTTTTTTTTTTTTTGAGTTGGAGTCTCACTCTGTCGCCCAGACTGGAGGGCAGTGGCATGCTCCTGGCCACAGCAGCCTCGACCTCCTGGTCTCTGAGGATCCTTCCGCCTCAGCCTTCCAAGTAGCCAGAACTGTAGGCACGCGCCACCATGCTAGTTTTTTTTTTAGATTTATTGTAGAGATGAGGTCTCGCCCAGGTGGGTCTTGAACCCGTGGGCTCAGGCAATCCACTCACCTTGGCCTCCCAAAGCACTGGAATTACAGGCTGAGTCACCGAGCCCGCCTGTTTATCTATTCTTAATCCCCTTAATCCCTGTCCTTGCCCACTGGAGTAGGATCCAGAGACGAAATTGAGTTTGCATTGCTCAAAGTTGATTTCTGATTGCAAATCACATTACCTGGGCAACTATAGACACAACATTTGGAATGTTAAAGGATAAAATATTTAATCCCTTTTCTATATCATTGCTATTTTTGTGTTTTTTCCAATTTCATACATGGCTGACATTTCAAAGATTTGTACTTTTTGAAAAGGTGAATTTCATGTCACAAAAACAGAAAATGTGGATGTTTGGTGGGAGTGATACATAAGCATACAAAAACTTAATTGGTTTCCGTTAGTCAATGTTACTTCACATTTTGTTAACCTCATCTGGTCTGATCAAAGCAGCCACCCTGATCTCATCAATTATGAGGAAAAGATGATTCTGGTAAAACCTCACAGTAGAAAATAGAACACATTCTTGCCTTTCCCTAATCCATTTATCACAATGTTTTCAGTCAACGTTTATAAAATGCTAATCTGCCCATATCACACCCCACTTTATGCCTCAATGACTTTCTCCCCCTGCCCCCCAGGGAAAAGTACTAAGTCCTTTCTTGTCCAAAAAGACTTTTCTGGACCAGCTCTAAGTTTCTCAAGCCCAATCTTAGATGTTGTGACTAGTTCTCTGTATCTAGGTACCCTGCTCATTTTTCCCCCTGTAGAATTCATGGCTTTTCTTTCATCTCCCTCCAAGTTATCTTTTTTTTTTTAATCAGAGTCTCACTCTGTCACTCAGGCTGAAGTGTTGTGTGACATGTTCACAGTTACCACAGCCTCGACCTGCTGGGCTCAGATGATCCTTCCATCTCAGTCTTCCAATTAGCTGGGAGTTCAGGTGCGTACCATTACAGCCAGCTAATTGATTTACTGTAGAGATGAGGTCTTGCCAAGTTGCCAGGGCTGGTCCCCAAACCCGGGCTCAGGCAATCCTCTCGCCTCTGCCTCCCAAAGTGCTGGGATTGCACACTGAGCCACCATTCAGACAAGTTCTCTTTTTGAATTATATGCCCTTCCTATTCTGCAACACATAGGCATGTTTACCCTTGGAGACATGCATTCAATTCCACAAAGACAAGTCTGCAAAGTATTATAGCTAGGACCTTGGAATTCAAAACCAGACTACTGGTGTTCTAATCTACAGTCTGGAATTTACAAGCTTTGCAAACAGGCAAGTTACCCATCACATTCTGGTCTGTGTCATGGGGGCTCTGATCTCTAATGACACCCAGCACCCAGAGGTCACAGAAGCTAACAAAGTTAACATAGAGAAAGCACATGGAATAGTTGCTGGCAAGTGATAAGCACTCAATATCTGCTAAATATAGTAGCTGATACTGACCTTTTATATTTCAGTTCCCACTCTTGCTCCAATCTGCCATGCACCACCGCTTTCATAAAATAAAATAAAAATGAATTATATAAAATTAACAAGGCAGCTGGGCTCAGCGGCTCAGCCTGTAATCCCAGCACTTTGGGAGACCAAGGCGAGTGGGTTGCCTGAGCCCATGGGTTTAAGACCAGCCCAGGCAACTTGGCGAGGCCTTGTCTCTACAATAAATAAAAAATTAGCCAGACGTGGTAGTACATGCCTGTAGTCCTGCTACTTGGAAGGCTGAGGCAGACAGATAGCCAGAGCCCAGCAGGTCAATACTAGGGTGGCTGTGAGTGCCATTGTACTAGCCTGGGTGACAGAGTGAGACTCCAACTAAAAAAAAAAAAAAAAAAAATTAACAAGTCACCCAATAGACTTTCCAAGGAGAAATCTTCAATCATGTCAGGCCTTAAGAGTCCACAACATGAAACCCTTTTGGGTCATTGTTGTAACCAAAGATATCCCCTACTCCTGGGAGACCTCCATATATTTGTATCTAGAAATTTTCCCTCAATAGCTTTGCCTACATACACATGTATACACATGAAAAGACATAAAATTGGAAATTTTCCTTCCATTATGGAAGCTTACCTTCTTCTTGGTTTAACTTCAAACTGGATAATCCTGGGCTGAACACTGAGCTGATGTGTGACTGGCTTTCCACCCTGGGTTTATCTGATGTGACTTTCTAAGCCTGTTCCCTTTTATAGCACCTGAGATCAGTGATTGATTTAAAGATGTGATTGGATAAAACTTGCCTATTGATTGAATCTTGATGGAATCTTCATCCAGCCACAACCCTAGGTCTCCAATACTGTATTATTATATACCACTGCTGGTCTTGGGACAATAGACTGTAAACAAACATTTGCATTTGTGCAGTGAAATGCAACAACATTCACACTAAGTAGGAATATAAAGATTAGCATTAGTCTCACATAAATTCTGGTTAAGTTTTGTCATAAGTGACTCATTACAAACTCATGACCAACTTTTGCTTAAAATTTTTTTTTTTTTGAGTTGGAGCCTCACTCCATCACCCAGGCTGGAGTGCAGTGGCACACTCCTGGCCACCCCAGCAACAACCCGCTGGGCTCCAGCGATCCTTCCACCTCAGCCTTCCAAGTAGCCTGAACTACAGGTGCGTGCCACCTCACCCGGCTAATTTTTTATTTATTGTAGAGACAAAGTCTCTCCAAGTTGCTTGGGTGGGTCTTGAACCCGTGGGCTCAGGCAGTCCACTCGCCTCGGCCTCCCAAAGTGTTGGGATTACAGGCTGAGCCACCGAGCCTGGCCTAAAATTTTTAATGTTCAGAGATTATATTAAAGATTGCAAGGGTTGTAGAGAGCAAGGCTGATGATCTCTCCTCCTGTGCCAATTTCAAACTAGTGAAATGGAGGGCATTCCAGGACCCCAGAGAAGGCATCCCTAGCCCAGCAAAGGGATGACAGGGACTGAGACTAGTATCATTTCAACAGGAATGGAGAAATAGGTGTGCATTTTGTATTGAGAAAGCCCCTGTTTAATAGACTTAATGTAAGAATTGATGGAGTGTTGGGAGCCAGCGTTGGAGGCCCGCCTGATTGACAAAGTCCAGGTGCGCTGAGGAACACAAGCCGCAAAGCGAGTCCAGGCAGCTGAGGCCCTTCTGTTTTCCATCTTTGCTGTTGGTACAGCTGAAGAAATTCTGTGCAGTCGTGGAAGAAGAAGATTTCATGTTTATGCGAAGTACTCACAGCTAACCTGAGAATGTCATGGTTCATTTTTCCATTTTCCCACTATGCCACTTGGCCTTTTCTAACATATGCAAAGGTTAAACTCTGAAGCCCATCAAGAATGCTTTCTTTCACTTAGTTATAAGTTACTAGATATTGCTTAAGTAATAAATGATATAAGTATATTCACTCCTTATTTGATTTAGAATTATGTAGTTTAGTGTTTAGACATAAGGTTTTTTAGAAGCACAAGTTTATAGTAAGTTCATTATGAATTCATTATAAGTCCAAACACTTATCTAGGAGTTATGTAGTTGATTTATAACACTGTTTTCACTGACTTAGGATAAAGATTATCTTTAAGGTTTTTACTTAATTTAATAGTTAAAACTCTAAGTTAACATTTATAAAGTGGGTTTTCACTGAACTCATAATATACTAATCAGACACTTTTATGATAACTTAGCTAAAGACAGAAAGCAACCTTGGGGGCCTGGGAAACATTACTAAAAGCTTCTTTTGAGTTCTCTTTAGAAATAAACACCGCAGGATAAGAGAAAAGTAACGAAGACACCTGGACAAGAAAGGCGATTACAAAGCTCTGAAGGTCATAAAGCCCCAGAAGGAAAACTACTGCTACATGAAGAACTTTACACTTGGAAACTTTCTGGAGACAGTTCAAGGACTGTAATTCGGGACTTTGGACTAAAACTATCATCTGTGGCCTTATGAATAAGACTCATTGTCTGAATGTTTACAGGGTTCTTGGCTTGTTTGTTGCTAAGACCACTAGATGGTGGTAACTTGTAGAGGATATGTACTTGAAGGAATTTTCTTTGGCTTGC